TTTTTTTTTTTTTTTTTTTTTTTTTTGGAATGTAAAGTTATAATTTTATATTTGCTTACATTAAATGTATTAATTTAAGAATAATAAAATAGTAAATAATAGAAATAATAAAATCATTTAAAATGTTGTAATGTTGTCATTTTACATTGTTTTATGTACAGTATTTTACATAATTTTAAAATTAATGATTTATTATAAATTTTTCACATAGAAATGATTATTTTTCATCAAATACTCAGTTTAAAAATTGGCAATAACAGATCTTAAAAGGTTACAGGAAACTCCAAGACTTTCACAACAGAAATGTCACAGAAAACCAGGTGCAGCAGCGCTTTGGGCAACCTGAATTGGAGTCCCGGCTTGAGGTCCATTTTCACATTGCTTCCTGTCAACTCTACACTGTTTTATGTAATAAAGGTCAAAAATAAAAAACAAACAAAAAATCTAAATAATGTAATAGACTGAACCGCCTAAACGGTTGTTGTAAGCTTAGAAGTATACAAATGATAATTAAGAGGACGATTCTAATATTATCTCCGTAAGTAATGCATCTGTCTGATTAGTTATACCACACAGTACAATCCTGTAATAAGCTTTTTGAGTCTCAATGAACACCAGAGGGAAATTACCCACAGGACAGTCTCTTCTGTCTCAGCTGTCACTCACCCACTGGTCCTTTCTGATTGATGAAGATCATGGTACGGTTCGTGCCGTCAGTGTTGGCCATGCTGATGTTATTTCCGTCAGTCCAGTACAGCTTCCTGGACATGAAACAGTTAACAAAAGAAGAATGTTAAAGGTGGGGTATGCAATTTTTTAAAAACGCTTTAGAAAACTGATTCAGGCCGACTAGCAAAACAAACTTGTAGCCAATCAGCAGTAAGGGGCGCGTCTACTCATGATGTGGAGGAGAGAGTGTTCAGTCCGAGCCGAGCAACAGAAAGATAGAGATGACGGATAAAAAACTAAAAGAGGAAAACATCTGCGGAACAAACGAAGGCTTAAAGGGGTCATATGATGCTATTTTAAATATCATTATTTTGTGTATTTGGTGTAACAGAATATGTTGACATGCTTTAATGTTCAAAAAACACATTATTTTTCAAACACTGTACATTATTGTAGGTCCTCTATGCCCCGCCTCTCTCAAAAACGTCATTTTCAACAAAGCCCCCTCCTTTGACAAGCGCAGTCTGCTCTGATTGGCCAGCTGACCCAGTGCATTGTGATTGGCCGAACACCACAAGCACGCGTCGGAAATGTAACGCCCCTTACCATAATCGCTTCAGCTTTCAAAGTAAATATCAAGACAGTTAAGAATGTCGTTAGTTTTACCATCAGTTTAAGCCCGCAAAGGGCAACAGAGTCACGTGACAGACACAGTGATGATGCAGTACACAAGCCGCGGTTAAGACAGCTGACGTGCTATGATTTCTGACAGACAGTTCACTCTCCTGTGATGTGACCCTGTTCCCCTCACACACACACACACACGACGCGTTACTCTGCGCTGCGCAAAACTCCACATTTGAACAGTCAATAGCAAATACTTAAACTAATAACAAAACATACTTACAGTCGCTGATTCAGAAGCGCCAGATTGTCAAAGCAAAGTCGGAATGGACCCTTTTTTTTTTCTTTTAGAAATAGCCTTTGTGCACAGCCAGCCTTGTACTCTTCTAGGTTCAAAAAACTGTCGTCCATAAAATGCGTTGCACAAATTCGAACATCTGGGTTGTGCTGTTCTGTTGTAAATAAATCTTAACCAATGATTCCTAATTGCATCTACTTCCGGAAGGCCAAATAAAGTGCTTTTGCTTTCGCACTGAAACACACAGCGTCTCCCTGACATGGCTGCATCAACACTACTGCTGTTCCTGAAACCACGCCTTCTTTCTTTGCGTGCACATTTGGGCCACATTATGCTAATATTTACTCATAGTGATGTAGGTATGTGGGGGCGTGTTAGAACGAGCCGTTTTAGGTAGGTGTGGTTGACTCTTAACTTTATAAAGAATATCTCTTTGGATTTGAGACTTTAGTCTTTGCAACTTTACTTTACTTTACAACACTCCAAAGACAAATTGAAATTGCATCATATGACCCCTTTAAGGCAAGAAGTAGGACCCGTGTAAATATCGGATCAGCTTTCCAGCACTGGAGAGAACTCGAGGAGCGGAAGGCCTGCGATCGGACGCCGAGGCTGCTTTGTTTCTTCTCGATAGGTGAGTAACACCGTGTCTGCGCCGCAACAGCTAAAGTCTGTCTAGTACACTGGACGTGACAAAGCGAGCGTTGAAAATCATTTGACATTTGTGTCAATACGTCACGAATAGAATGCAGCAGCAGTTTTTTGTCGGGGATTTGTCGTGTTGTGCCGCGCTGCATCCAGTGTAGACCATAGATATGTATATATATATACTGTATCAATGGTGTAGACAGCATCACTGATTATAATGAGTTCTATAGTATTTTGTCGTGCCGCGCCACTCGTGTCTAGTGTAGACACGGTGTAACATTGGGTTTTGCTTTGTTTCACAGAAATAATCGTTGCCTGGGTTGCGTACATATGTGTGGGGCGGAGCTATCAAAATAGGGGCGAGACCCTATTGGGGTAGGGGCGTGTTTGTTTTGGTGATTTCAAATATCAACATTGGCTACCAGAAAATGCTTACCCCACCTTTAAGCAGGTTATATCCCATCATCAAACATTCCACTTAATTAACCAGAGTAAAACTGAAATCCCAATATGGCCTTGTGCAATTATTAAATCATGATTTAATTATTTGAGCAGCATGTGCTGAGTGCGTCAAAGTGAATGTGCTGCAGTTGAGTTTCTTCTGAAAAAGAGTCAGTGAACAATTCATTTTAAATGTACCATTTAAGTAAACAAATGTTCTTGTTCATTTATGTCGTACACAGAGCTTTGACATTTAAAAACATTTTAAAAACTCATGTGAAAAGCCTCTTAAACAATACTGGAAATGTTGTCTTTTTATCTTTTTGCAGCATATTAGATATATTTTTCTCCTTTTCATGCAAAAAAAACCCAAAATCAAATGGAAACTTTCCTAAAGTCTGTACTCTATGTCATTATGTCTTTCAGTAAAACATGAGAAAACGAGTGCATGCGGTCGCATCCTGTTTTGCATCTTTTAAGAAGTCAGATGTGTTCGTGTGTTAGTGTTCTGGGGTAAATATCATAAGTGTTTGTGGCATGAGTGAACTCACCCCAGTATGGGATGCAGCACGAGGCAGTGGGGTTTGTCCAGGCCCTGAATAACAGCGTTTTTGAAGGAGCCGTCCAGTCTGGCGACGTTGATCTGTTTCTTATTGCCATCATAGCTGGTCCAGAAGAGATTACGTGACACCCAGTCCACCGCCAGACCATGTGCGTTGGGAATATCTGATCACACGCAAGACACACCAGATAACCATTTCCAGATATTAATTCTTTGAATCAACATAATCGGATAAGAAAAAAACTAATCTAAACATTGTGCATTTCTACAGGGATAAACAGCTGGATGAACAGAAAGACGGATGGTAAAGTGTGACTCATCATTTCATCATATAACCCAACATGTCTGTAATTTGGTTTTGAGGGCTGTGCTAATTTTACTTAAACAGCACTCTCTAAAAACACACTCGACTGTAAACACGACAGCAGTTCTCAATGGGACAGTTCATCAAAAAATTTAAATTCTGTCATCATTTATTTACCCTCATGTCAAAAGATGATATTAAAAAAAAAAATCAGTGGGGTCCAAAACAACAAAATATCTTCCTTCTGTGTTCCACAGAAAAAAGAAAGTCATACAGATTACATAGACAGCGCATCGTTCATTCTGACAACCATGATTTCTAGAAATTTAGTCTCACAGCATAACTGGTCATAATTACATTTTTATTGTGATAACAATAAAATAATAAAATAAATAAACTTGTGAAATTGAACAAGTAGTCAAAACTACTATTGCTGTAGTTTTTGAAAGAAGTCTCTTCTGCTCACCAAGGCTGTATTTATTTGTTCAAAAACACAGTAAAAACAGTAATATTGTGAAATATTATTACAATTTAAAATAGCATTTTGTATGTGAATACATGTTGTAATCTATTGCTAATCTATTGCTAAATGTAATCTATTGCTGTGATGCGCAGCTGAATTTCCAGTATCATTACTCCAGTCTTCAGTGTCACATGATCTTCAGAAATCAGTATAATATGCTGATTTGCTGCTCAAGACACATTTCTGATTATTACCAAAATTAAAAACAATTGTGCTGCATAATATTTTTGTGGAAACCTTGACACATTTCAGGATTCACAGATGAACGGAAAGTTGAAAAGAACAGCATTTATTTGAAACAGAAATCGTCTTTACTGTCACTTTTGATCAATTTAGTGCGTCCTTAAGGAATAAAACTATTAATTTCTTAAAAAAAAAAAAAAAAAAACGTAGTGACCCCAAATGTTTGGACGGTAGTGTATTAGAAATTAAACTTCTGCTTATGCAAAATGTAAATCTGAACTAATAACGCCAGGAACATTAAAAGCTAAAACAGCTAGTGATGTCAGTCAACATCAACAGCAATGTACATTTCTAATAACACAGTATTCATCCCAGGTAGCAAATCCACTAGCAAAGGAATGGAGTAATTATCATATTAAACCAACTCAGTCAAATAAAACTACTGTCAATTATTTTCTGTTGTAGATGTGCAACTGCTTTTATTCCAATCAAACTGAAGTCAGCCTGAACGAGCGTCATACCTGCAGACACCACCGTCTCTATTCCTGTGCCGTTGATGAAGGCCCTCTTGATTGTGTGAGTCCGAACATCTGACCAATAGATGCGCTGCTCCAGAGCATCGTAATCCACAACCGTCACGTTGTCGATGTCGGGGACAGTGAAGGAGATGATGTAGTTGTAGTACGGATTATAGACGTCCACTCCTCTTATCTCAATCTGACGGGCGTACAGCAGGAACTGACGCGACTCTGGAAGAGACACAGAGACACCCGTCATGACTGGAGCCAAAAAAGAGCCAAATCAAACCAGACAAAAGAGATTCCTCCAAGGCAATGTATTTGAATGTCAGCAGGATATGAAGATCCATTAACTGTTAATGTCAAACTAAACATCTGAAAATAAATCTATTTATTATAAGAAAGGCTGTCTAGAATCCCTAGTATCCCTGATTTCTCTGTGTATTTAAGCTCTTGTGCTTCAGTCATGTTTTGTGAGTCGTTGATTTTACTGGTGTTCTTGATTTTTTGGTCAGGGTTGGCCTTCGTGCTTCCCCAGTCTGGATTATCTGTGTTTTTGCCTGTTGTTATTAAAGTTGTGTATGCAAGTGGATTCTTTCTCTGCCTTGTTCCTACACACCCGTAACACATAGACAGTATGTGCAATTCTTCTGCACATAGATTTCTATTGTAAGAGCATTACAGTACTGTATATATATATATATTGTTTTTACAAACTAAGAAACAAATCTATTTTCTGTGGTAATCAATAGTAGGTAAGGCTGCAAAGAAGCGAAGCAGAGGTATCGATCGATCAGCTAAAGAAAAAACAAATCCAGTGGACAGTAAGCCTATTACATAGACAGTATTTATATCCTTAACAGTTTCATTGTTATTATTCTGCATTATTTTTTAATTAGCTTTTATATTTATAATTTGAGTTTTCATTTTAATTGAAGTTTGTTTTTTTTAAGTAATTTTGATATGAGGTTTTGACATTTTTATTAGTTTTGTAGCGTCTGGACCAATCAAAAACACAATTTTTAATTTGATTTAACAAATCAGTTATTCATTATATTAACAAGTCGTCACAGACCCCTCACCCGATAGACTGGGCGCCAGGATGTCTGCGAATGACCACAGGCCACTGGTTACCATGACAACCACGACACCTTTGCTAGACCAGAGCCATTTACGACCTAATGGAATGTGAGTATGGAAAATCACTGCCTTTGAATTAGAAAGAGACACAATGCCCAGTAGAAATTTTCTTTTTCATCAACCAACTTCAGCAAAGATCAACTTGAACCTTTGGACTGCATCAAGCCTTTCTTTCAGACAGACGAGACGTGCAAGTATTCAAACTTAGTCTTATTAATTGATACATTAGGTATCATTTGCACCTTTTTACAAAGGTGTGTTTGAACTAAGAACCTGATGTTTCCTTCAGGCGGTAGATCTGCTGAATATGCAAAAGGTTCCATAACTTCATCCCTTATTTCTCTCCTCTTTACGGCTTAAGCTTCAACCCTTTCCTATACCAACTGTATGTGTGTAACGTTCTTAGAATTGACAGACAGTTGACCCTGAGAGGTCAAGTAAATATCTACAGCGGATCTAAATATTTATAATTAATTATAACTAGTTATGATTAATTATTCATATTTCCCCATGAGCTGATTCGCTACAGTTTTTTTATATTTCTATTTAGCTTTTCTATTATTATGTTTATTATAGCTTCTATTTATTTGATTTCAGTTTGAGTAATTTAGTACTTTAAATGAAACTTATTTTATTTTATTTTTTTCTATTTTTAATTAGTTTTTCATCAACTTGTTATATTTTATTTCATTATTTCAATGAACCAAAAATAAGTAACGAACCCGCACACTATCAATACTTGCTAATTCTTAAACTTTATTAAATGCAACGTTTCGGTCCACTGACCTTCATCAGGCAAAAATATATATATTATATATAAAAAAATATATATTTTTTTTATGCCTGATGAAGGTCAGTGGAACGAAACATATTTAATAAAGTTTAAGTATTAGCAAGTATTGATAGTGTGCGGGCTCGTTACTTATTTTTTATTCAACTTTTTGTTTGATTTTGTTCCCATGCACCTATCGTCTTTTCAGACGTTTACGTTGATTGATTATTTCAATGAACAAAAACTATTTTTATTAGTTTTAGTTTTAATTCACATTATCACTGCTAGTTTTCATTCATGTAGGACTATATCAAGAAGTCCATAAAAAAACACTTCTGCAGATGTAAAACTGCATACAGCACAGATTCTGTCAGGTTGTGAATCAATCTGGAGATGATTACCGTAGCAGGTGTGGTTGTCCTCACTCAGTCTCATGAGGTGTGGGCAGGCACAGGAGAACGTCTGATTATAGTTGATCAAGCACAGGTGAGAACATGGACCCAAACCACCATTAGCAGCACACGGGTTTGGCGCTGGAGAAACAGAGAGAGATGAGAGGCACTGAAGCTTTATTGTCTCATCACCACATTCAAATTTATTGCCGACACCAAGAAACCGAACCATCTGACACAGCAACGCAGATTAATTGGCCAACGTTTGGCTATTTTGATATTATGGGCATTTGCTCTTAGATGAATTATTCATGATCTATATCTACGCTGTTCGAGAAGGACAGGAAGTATGATGAAAAAGTAAGAATGAGAAATCCAAAGGTTATGAGTTCACAACAAACAAAGCATGTCCAAACCAATTCATCCCGTGTCTGCTCCTGTCAGAAGTCTGCCTCTATAAGATGAAGTCAGTGAGCTAAACTATCATGACAAGTTTGTTCACACGCTGCTTTATTAAGTGCCAAACACCATCAACACGTGTGTCCATCAAGAAGACTGGCTGCTCCCTCAGTCTGAACTGCGATCTTTCAAAACGGATCAAATGAATCACTAGAAACTACTGCGTCACATGCATGCATTGTGATGAGCTCAATTTGCTAAGATCTCAAGAAGTTGAGAGAAATGACACTAATGATGAAAAGTATCAGAAAATAAGTCACAATTGTACCCAATATGTGTATTTAATGTGTCTTTTGTAGTTAAGATGATTGTGCTGTTAGCTTAGCAACCTGCTAACGTCAAACTTCCCAAACCAGTCGAGCTCAAACGCAAATTCATTGGTCACCTCAATCATGCAGTCACCTGTCAACAGAAGTTTAGACTTCATGTTTTCAACTCAGAGAAAAAAATCAAGGATGGATCTGATCACAACAAACAGTAATCTATCAGGGGCCCATTCTTCGTACGTCGCTAACTCAGTTAGCTGGATTTGATTGTTGATGATTTGGCTTGATCTTGGATTGTTTGGTTCTTCGAAGCTCATCCCGGAGTTGCTGTCATAGCAACAGGTCCTTAAACTTAAACCTGATCGGGAGCAGGCTAATTTCATGTAAACAGGATTAGATTGCATCTTTTTAATCAGAATTCATACTTAAAATCTGTCCCAGCCACCGCTACTTTATTACAAGAGTACCCTACTAATCCAGGGACAATAATTTAAAATATTAATCATTTAAAAATAATGTTAAGATAATATAACAATGTTGTGTAGTCTTTAATACTATAGACAGCCAGTTTTACTCACTGAGAGATTTATTCGTCATAAAATTATTACTTCATTATTGTATTAGAATCTTACACACATGCTATACAGATAATGTAGAGTCGTGCATTAATTTGAGTGGTGACAGATATTATGGGAGGGGCTTGATGGAGCGCAGGAGATGCAGATAACATGATCGTGACCCTTAAGAAACTTTAATTAATGCTGTCACATAACAAATCTGTTCAAATATAAAATTAAATGAATTGCTAATTACTACATTGAAATAAAAATGTAAAGCCTGTACAAATATTAGAAATCGTGATTATAAATAATTCTATTTATATAAATAAATAAAATAATAATAAATGGTCTGTTATAACATTTATGTAGTTTTGTTCACTTGGCTGTTTCCTTATAAAAGTCCAAAAATGTGTAAAGTTTTTCGTCAGGTGTCTTTATTAATTATATGATGTCATTACGTTGCTGTCTTGCTGCCAGCCAATTGCTGCATTGCTGATCGTGGTTTCGAGTATCGATACATAGCCCCTTTTAAACCAACCCATGAACACGCAATTATCTCAGATAACTCAATCCAGCCATACTAATCATCAACAACAGGTGCGTTTGAAGAACCTAGCCAGATCCTGATTAGCGCGATGATATCATCTTAGATGTGACATTTCATCTCGGCTGTAATAAGCGACGTACGAAGAACGGGCCCCAGGATGTGCTTCCAACGCTATATATTATTGTAGCTCTGTGTAGACTATCAGCACTGTGATTGACATGACCAATGAAATCTTCAGAATCGGAAAAACTCACGCTACTGGAATCAACTTTTGGAATCCATTAGAAGTATTTTGAATCAGTTAGTCTTTTACGAAAAGGTGGTACGGTAAATTGACGGTATTAGATACTACGGTACTTTGATATATCCCACTGTTTTCCTTTGCCGTGTGAAACAGCCATTAGTAATATCGATATCAGAGTAACGTTGGAATAAAGTTTGAAGATTACCTTGCGGTTGTCTAGATGGGTGGTACACCTGCAGGTCGAAAGGTTGAGTGTTTGTTCTCTGTACCACAGTGACATTGTTTCCTGTCCACTTGTTGGCCTTGGCCAGCGTGTTTGTGCGCCAGTCTGTCCAGTAAACCTCTCCTCCATACATCGTCACAGCAAACGGGTGCGAGAGATACTCGTGTCCTCTGAGCACCTCGATCAGTCCGGACCCGTCATACTTAGCTGAATAGATCGCATCAGATCTGAGCCACGAGACATAAACAAACCATCACAAAATGGAACGATTCTATGATATCAGGTAGATTTTAGCCACCGTGTTTACAAAGTTTCACTGTCAACGGTTAGGACAAGAATGTCCAGTCCTGCTCCTGGAGGGTCACCTGACAGCAGAGTTTATCTTTAGCGCCAAACCAGTGAAACAAGGTCTACAGGATCACTAGAATCATCTGTGTATTGGAGCTAACCTCCAAAGTGGCCCTCCAGGAGCAGGACTGGACACCCCTGGGTTAGGGATTGGGATAGTGTCAGGGCACGGACATGGGTAAAACACATCCTATTGTATGAGGTGAGTCTTCACACATCACCTGGCATCGATCCACAGAATGCGGCGCTCCAGATAGTCCACAGTCAGTCCGTTGGGCCATCCTCCACTGCCCGTCTCCTTATGGATGGTGCGCCTGCCATGTCCACTCATGGACGCAGCCTCTATCCTGGGCATGCTGGCATCCCAGTCTGTCCAGAATAGGATTCTACAGAGTCAGAGCACAGATGAGGGCTTTTTAAAATGCTGCTGTCAAAAGTGTTTTGGTCGCAGCATTCTTTTATAGCACTTGTATTCTTTTACTGTTTTGGAAAAGGGCAGCGTCAACATTCTTTAGAATTAGTTTTGTATTTGGAACAAAATAAGGGTGAGTAAATTATTTTCATTTTACATTTTCATTCTTGGGTGAACTATTCCTTTGAGGGCACTTGAAACATTAAAATTAAAATAATAATAATAACAATAATTTAAAATGACCACACAGTGAAATTGTAACAGCTCTCACTGTAGCAATCAAACTACAACAATTCTCCTGACTTCAGAGGTAGCACCTACACAGGCATCTTACACATATCATTAATATTATTTATTAATAATACAGTTATTACTTTAATACGAATATTACAATTATTGATGAATTAAAGAATACTACAATAACACTGTGGCAAGCAGGGCAGAGCCGCTCCAAAACAGAGCGAGGCCAGTGCCGCGAGTAGGGATGTAACGATTCACTCAACTCACGATTCGATTCACGGTTTTGATTTCACGATTCGATTAGATTCACAATTTTTATTTTACAAAATGAGATTTAAGACAAATTATACATTTAATGTGTCCTTTTATTATTGCTTGGACAAAATGCTGCACGTTTCTTTGTGAAATTGAAATATAACACTATAATAATATACTAATATAGCACTTGCATATCATTGCTCTTTTGTTGGTTTTGATTGCTTCTGTTGCCCTCATTTGTAAGTCGCTTTGGATAAAAGCATCTGCTAAATAACACAATTTAAATATAATGTAAATAACAAAACTAAACTGAAATTTTAAAACAAGCCGCAAATCAAATAAATAAGTATGTTAACACAAAACAAATCTCTTCATATAAACAAAATAAGGCTTTGTCTGTGCTCTTTCCATTTAAAATTAGAGGCAACTACTGCATTTCCATCATGATCCAAAAAAAGATGCTGCATACATGCAACAATCTAACATTATACACTATACATTTTTTTTAATCTAAATTCGATTGTATAATTTCGAAATTTAAAGCAAAAACAGAATGGTTTGACTTCAGTTTTTTGAAACTATACATAAAAAATATCTGCATGAAACCGAAACAGCAGACGAGCTGAATGAGCCGCAGATTCACTCTCTGCCAGCAGGTGGCGCTTAAAGTGTTTCCTTGGTTTCCGCTGTAAACAAAGCAGCGCTGCACTTATAAACTTTAATATGCATTATACAGAGGCAAGATTAATAGAAAAAATACCATCCAGGGCTGTACAGCGCACGTGCTACGAAAAAACTGGTCTGTGCGATGAATAAATGTACCACTGTAGCACGCGTGCGATACAGTTTTGCATGTTCATAACACAGCCGCTTAATAGTGTGAAGTGATTTCTTTGTGCTTGTTTGTGTGTGTGAGATTGATTATACTTGGTAGTTAGGGGTGTGCGATATGATGATTTTTGAATGTCTCCATGATCTGCTTTTGAAGAAATATCGTTGCATCGTGCTACAGCGCACATTCTATCAGCTGCAGTTCTGGCGCCTCCCTCCGTCTCAATATAATGTACAACGCCACATGCATTCACATCAGTGTTAGCTCAGCGGTAGAGTTACTCTCACGGAACACTGCACTTATGCGCAATCACAAAACTACATTATTTCCATCTGCTTTAAAGCAATACCGGTTAAACATTTAATTCACGTGCTGCTCTGCATGCGCTTTTTCTGAGTGCGCACTCAAGAAGCGTGCTCACACTGAGAGCCTGTCAAACAGCGCCTGATTGATTTAGCGTCTAATACTGTCAAAAACACACAAGGTTTACATATAAACACAGTTGGTTATGTCTGAAATGAAAGTAAACAGTTGAGAGAGAAACGCGTGAAGCTTTTAAAGGGACAGTAGCTAATAAATATGCTGCCACCTGTCATTAAAGGGATAGTTCACCCAAAAAATTTAATTTCTGTCATTATTTACTCACTCACATTTTGTCCCAAACCTGTATTAATTTCTTTCTTGTGCTGAACACAAAAGAAGATATTTTGAAGAATGTGAGTAACCAAACAGTAGCTGGTCCACACTGACTTTTACAGTAGGAATAAAATACCATGGAAGTTACTGTGGACCAGCAACTGCTTGGTTACCCACATTCTTCAAAAATAACTTTTATGTTCAACAGACAAAATCAATTAATTCAGGTTTAAAACAACTTGAGTAAATGATGGTATAAAAATGAAACTATTGAAAGACAGATGATCTTTTAATGTTAATAAAACAACAAAACACAGAAAAAAAATCACTCACCTCTCTTGACTGATGAACTTATCTGTACTTTATTTGAGTTTTTATATTTCAGCCAACTTTTACTTTTACTTTTACTCCACTACATTTCCTAATTCAAATCTATACTTTTCCTCCGATACATTTCCCCGAAGCATATTCATTACTTACTACAAAATAGTCAGAAGTCAGAAGAACACGGACCGCAGGAAAGCAGGTTTGACAAATCAGTGGTCTGCCGTCTGCAATTTAGACTCATGCTCATGTGCAAACAAGTGCGCGCAGCCGCACACAACCGCGGATGATTAATTTCCCACTCAAGTCGAGTCTGGGGTGTGTGACATACAGTATATCTTCTGCGATAATATGGTAAGTGTTGTTGTAATGATGTGCAATCTGACATTATCAAGTAGGCTATATCACCAAATCACACACAGAGTGCACGCAACGTTGATTTATTAGTCTATTAAAACTCAAAATTCCAGGCATTCTTAATTGTGGACGGCAAAAATGCTTCTGTATGATTTTTATATTTATATAATGTAATATAGTTAACTTAATCTATATCACACAAAGAGTACGGTTTTTCTGCAGATATCAGCATGATAACACATTTAATAATAATTTTATACAAGTTCAGTAAAGCAATAAGTGATTTACATTTTAGACATAATATTGCTTGTTTTTGCTCAAATTTGCCAACAAAAATAGTTCCAAACAAAGATAACAGCACTGTTTTTCGTCTCTGAGCAATGGTGTTTACTTGTTGAATGAATCAGCTTTTTGAACGAATCGGTTGAATAAATGATTCAGTGATTCACTCGTTAACACCGTCCAATGCTTTGTTTCTGAATGAATCAGTCGTTTGAATGAATCGGTTGAATCTCAGTGACTCACTCATTAACAGTCACTTGCTGACACCTACTGGCGGTTGTATTTTCACATTTCGACTATGTTTTTCATGTTTTAAATTATTTCAAATATCAGTATTCAATGTTTTATGTTAAAAACAAAACTTTAGGCCTATTTATGCATCTGTAATTGCAGGTTAAATGCATCCATGTCCCCTCTGAGATACATTAAACTGTAGGCTAAATGCCATTTCAGATACAGATTCCAGAAATGTTTTCTTATGTTGGAATGAAAGACCCCAAGTACTGGATGAAGTGCTTCTTAATCTTACCCAAAAATACAAAATGGAAGAAAGAGTTAAAACTGAACACAATCTTGCTACTCAAGCTGTGTATGAACATTTTTTATATATATATATTTATTTACTTGTACTATTACTTTCAATACTTAAGTACGTTTAAGATTTAAAAAATACTTTTCATACTTAAGTACAATAAATATCACATATTTTAAGACTTTTACTCAAGTACTATTCTAAACGGTGACTTCAACTTCTATACCAGTCATTTTCTGGTAAGATATCTGTACTTTTACTTGAGTATG